CTCTTTTTTTGTGTTGGTGTTGTATTCTGGAAAATCTTATCAAAAATAAAGTACAAAAAAAAAATTAAAATACCATTGAGATTTGAGTAATCATGATGCATCGTGATAGAATCGCATCGTGACTTCTTTGCCAATACCCACCCCTACCAAAAACATGACTGTTAGGATCAATTGGACTAATGGACTGGCGACCTATCCAAGGTCTACCCCGCTGGAGATGAAACCAGCACCCCTCCCGGATAAGCGTGATAGAAAATGGATGGATGGATAGTGATTTCCAAACATGGAGGAAAATTAGTAAAAATATAAAACATTTTAAGATGGATTAAAATGAGCAAATCAAATTCATTGAATAAAATGTGCAACATTGTGAAGAGCAACAAAGAAGACTCACAAAAAAGGAGCGATTAGAAGTCCTTTTTTCATCATCTAGGGACCCCATGTAATAAATAAATACATTTTAAGCGGTGAACAACTAAAGCCTGAGATTTTGCTGAAATTTACAAACATCTCCAGAGATGATGTTAACACTCTGTGTATTGATTCCTACCACACGGTGAAATGAATGACATGATACATCCAATATTGCTCCTTCTCTCAGGGCTTTTCATGGTGAAAGCTTTATATTAGATCATTTTCCATTTATTTTCTTTATTCAAACTTTAGTTGACAACTGCATGTGAAATCTTGCTTTGCTAATTTTTTTGTTGCTGTTTTTGCTTGTTTTTTGTCTACATGAGTAAGAAAAAATGTAATCCTTCTTTTTGATCGTCTTCCTCTGTGGTGAACAGAAGGTGGGACAGAGGAAGCTGTCTCTCGACTTTTTAAGAAACGGTAGAAACAACTGGAGCAGAAAATAAAATATTGTTCTACAAAGCAGGTCCAATGTGTAGCGTTACTGTTGCTTTGAATAAAAGTAAAGCTGTTAGAAAGATGCTGCATTACTGTGCATTTACTTGTTACCTTCCAAAGCCCTGTAGGCAGGTGTTTTTCAAGCTGCTTTGATTCATCAACTCATGATCTTGTTAAAGTATCACCTGTAAAGTAGGTTTTTTTCACTATCTAATTACATCCTGGCTCATGGAGGAGGGCACAATGGGAGAGACTGGTGAAGACTGAATAATGTTCCATTGGTTATATCTATTAATATGCTGCAGACATTTTATTTTAAACAGGTTATGATTAGCTTATAAGATTATTGTAGAAATGTCTTTGTTCTTTTTCCTTTCTGTGCAATAAAACTATAAATAGATAGATCTGTATTTAATAAATCACCCGTGCTTCTGTCACGTATTTGTATGGCAAAATGGAGCATTGGCATTCTTTTTTTTTCCCACTTAAAGCATCGTTTAACTCAGATTGTACACTGCAGGTAGATTCTGTAAACATTAATTTTTAAGTCTTGTAAGATACCCTTAAATGGACTTAGGTCTGGACTTTGGATAGGCCAATAAAACACGATAATCCTTTAATCTAAACCACTTCATTGTAGCTCTGGCGGTATGTTTAGGGTTTGTATCCTGCAGACTGGAGGCTGAACTTGGAACCGAATCTCAAACTAAGGGAGATCAACATGTTTTCCTTCAGGATTTGTCTCTGCTGAGGAAAAAAAAAAAAAAAACATCCCCACAACACGATCTTGCAATCACCAGGTTTCACAATGGTGTTTGCAGACTGATTTACGTTGTCGGGATTCTGCCACACATTCCTTTTCCTTCCACTGAACAACTGCACCCTACTTTGTTTAAGTCTATTACATACATTTCCATTTGAATATATTGAGGCTTGTGTTTGTAACGTGAAAAAATGTGAGGAGTCTAAACACTTCATAAATAGGGGATAGTTTGGCTGAACTTCCAGCTTCTGTAAACCATCTCTGATTGTGACTCCTTATTGTTATAAATAAGATCTGGCTTGTAGCAGGGAGGAATGCTTCTCTAAATCTAATGGCAGCTTTGCATGTTACTGAAGACAGGTGAAAAGGGCAAGAAAGCAGCAGCTGTTCTAAAATAAAGAAAAATAAAACATTGCACATTCAGCTCAAACTTAACAGAGAACTGGAGGCTTTTAGTCAGAACACCTTTACATAACTGAGCCAGATGTTACGGCTTCCTTTTGTTTGAAAAGAAATTATTTTCCATAAGTGACGCTCTGTTCCAAAAAAAATCGCTGCTTACAGACACGCCATACATCACGTTATTTTTCCAATTTCACTTCTGCTTTTGACAGGAACTTCCATGCAGCGTGCCCCACAAAATGCATGCGTGGTCTGTGTGAGCATGCACTGCTGCAGCTACATCAGAAGGACGGCTTGTAGCGGGAGGTGAGATTTACGAGGTGTTTGGCAGGCTTGCTTTTAGCTCAGCGATGGGAGACCGATCCCACCTCCTCGCCTAGCACCCCTAGTGAAAGACACACAGGCGCTTACAGACACACATCTGCACAGTCACACACTCAGCTGCACATACAGCACCCAAGTGAACGAAGGTGCACGTCAACCCTTAACCCCGAACGTGTAGGCCACATGTCAGCAGCTCTCAACTTTCTTGGGGCTGAAACACACCTTCTAAAATATCCCTTTAACCTTGATCCATCACAAAAAGAACAACTTTCCTACTACATCTCACCTCCCTTAGAGGGTTTCTGGCTAATGTGTGTAGAGATATTGTACAGTGGGGGCGGCCATGATGGGGAGGGCCGTCCCGTGGGGCCTTTGAAAGGTCACTGCTGCAGCCAGAGATGAGAAAACACATTTTAAACCATTTGCAAACACCATCAATCACAGAGACCTGTTTGTTTTTAACATCCAAAACTGAGGAAAAATGTGTTCGTCGCAAGATTTTTTTAATTTGCTTTTTATCTTACAGTGTTTACTTGGCAAGAGTGAGAAAATAAACTCTACAGAGCATGATGGGAATGTTTTTCCCTTTTCTTAAATTTTCTTAATTAAATTTTTAGTCAGTAAAGGTTTCAGAGAAAAAAGAAATACACTCACACTGCAAAAAAA